TGTAAGTGTTATGAGCTGTGTAAGGGTTATGAGCTGTGTGTAAGCGTCATGAGCCGTGTGTAAGGGTTATGAGCCGTGTGTAAGGGTTATGAGCTGTGTGTAAGGGTTATGAGCCGTGTGTAAGGGTTATGAGCTGTGTGTAAGGGTTATGAGCTGTGTAAGGGTTATGAGCTGTGTGTAAGGGTTATGAGCTGTGTAAGGGTTATGAGCTGTGTGTAAGTGTTATGAGCTGTGTAAGGGTTATGAGCTGTGTGTAAGTGTTATGAGCTGTGTGTAAGTGTTATGAGTCGTGTGTAAGGGTTATGAGCCGTGTGTAAGGGTTATGAGTCGTGTGTAAGGGTTATGAGTCGTGTGTAAGGGTTATGAGCCGTGTGTAAGGGTTATGAGCTGTGTGTAAGGGTTATGAGTCGTGTGTAAGGGTTATGAGCCGTGTGTAAGGGTTATGAGCCGTGTGTAAGGGTTATGAGCTGTGTGTAAGGGTTATGAGCCGTGTGTAAGGGTTATGAGCTGTGTGTAAGGGTTATGAGCTGTGTGTAAGGGTTATGAGCTGTGTGTAAGGGTTATGAGCTGTGTGTAAGGGTTATGAGCTGTGTGTAAGGGTTATGACTCGTGTGTAAGGGTTATGAGCTGTGTGTAAGGGTTATGAGCTGTGTGTAAGGGTTATGAGCTGTGTAAGGGTTATGAGCTGTGTGTAAGTGTTATGAGCTGTGTAAGGGTTATGAGCTGTGTGTAAGGGTTATGAGCTGTGTGTAAGGGTTATGAGCTGTGTGTAAGGGTTATGACTCGTGTGTAAGGGTTATGAGCTGTGTGTAAGGGTTATGAGCTGTGTGTAAGGGTTATGAGCTGTGTGTAAGGGTTATGAACTGTGTGTAAGGGTTATGAGCTGTGTGAGCTACTGGATGCTTCGGGAAATTCAAGTATTCATCAATCAATCAATCAATATGGACATCCTTACACTCATACCTGGACGATTGATTGAAATTGTTTTATTTTTGAAAGTATTTTGTAGTCTTAACTCTCCCGGTCAGTTTTATCTGTATGAATCGTGTACGGTCTGTAAAACATCCATCCTCTCATGAATTATTGCTGTGGCCTCATTTTGAGTCCCTGCTGAGGAAGGGGGCGTGTCTACACCTGATTGACAGCTCTTGAAAATGTAGCCCCTCCCCCTTCTGACTGACATGTAAAGCAACCAATAACTGTTAGTTTCGTGCAGCCTCATGTTTAGCGGCATGAAAATGTCGACGTATCTACGATAACAGACTGGCTAATTAATTATTAATTTATAAACATATACTGTAACAATTTACTGCGAGCTTCACATACTTGTGAAAATCCAGTGTTTAGTTGATTCTACAATAACAATCGATATCAAATCAGAATCAAGAGCTTGAAGTCTTTTTTGAGCACTCAACGCATCCACACACACACACACACACACACAGGTCAAGCTAGTTCATAAGTAGTTAAGCATGTCGAAGGCAAATTACTCATTTTGCGTTTAACAACATCAGTTCAGACTTTCGCTGCTGATTTTCTTGTTAACCCTTTAAGTGCCACACCCCCTTTTTTGAATAAACATGAAAATGCACAATCCGAACTTAAATGGTTGTAATTCAGAAATGCTTTGGAATATAGATGTAAGATTGGTCTTGTTTTAAAGAAGACATTTGGCAGATTTTTGTAGAAGTGAAACAGATTAAGAAAGTGAAACAGAAAAAAAGTTATAGAAGTTTGAGTTTAGCAAAATGTCAAATGTAAAAAATGTAATTATTCATATTTTATATAAAATATATTTGTTCAATTCCTGGTGGACTCTAAAACTGCAAGAAAATCAAAGCCAAAACTCTTAACAAGTTGTGTTTCAAATTTTAGGTTGATATCTCAATAAATGAGCTTTCAGTGAGAGTGTGTGTTTGGGCGCAGTACCGAACGCTTCCACTAGGTGACAACCATTTATGAAGTAGGCATCTATTCAGAAGTAGTAAGGGAAGTTTGGCATATTTTGATATGAATTCAACCTCTAATAAACATAAAAAGAACACGTATGTCCGTAATAGCTTTTTATATACAAAAACATACAACAGACACAAATAAACAAACTTCACAACAATAAAAAAAACCCATCTGGTTCCAGTAGTTTAGTCTTTTTCCAGTGTTTAACAACTGCAGTCTAGACTTTCATAGCTAAAAGGCAAGAGTTTAAGAAGATATATAATAATAGAGCTTGTTTTGTAGTTTTCACATAGTTTAGGCTACGTTTACACGACGTTTATTCCTTCCTGTTTTTCGCGTTTAGACGACAACGTTGTTAAAACGATTAAAAACACTGCGTTCTGCAGTCAGGCCAGTAGAGGGCGATGTCACGGTGTAAAGAAGCTTTAGACTGAACACATGCATGACTCCTGATCAGTGCTCATAGTCACAATAACAATCGATATCAAATCAGAATCGAAAGCTTGTGCATTGATTCGTGAAGCTCTACGGCACATGCAAATCTCAACATTTTTAGTCTATTCATGGTGCATTTAATGTGTGTTTGAGCACAAACGCTGCTGACGCGGAGTTTTAATACCTTTCGTTAGAGGTTTGATCGCAGCACTAACACCAACTATGAGCAATTAACCAAATAAAAGCCCACTACACTAAAAGCAATTCCATTAATGTAGTAAATGTGCGCCTAATGAGACTTATAAACATTTGATAGCATTAACAGGCAGTCTAATGACGCTCCGCTTTGTGTTGCGTCGCCCCTGGAAACGACTAATCACTCAAACTATTAAAGTGTACTTCCTGAAGGTCCAGTGTAGCGCAGACGGGCTCATGTGGGAGCCATTACACTCCTGTAGACACACAGATCGTCCAGGACCCGCTGGAGGAACTCCGAACTCCACGCAATCACAGGGTAATCAGTGCGGGAATGCTAAACTCGGCGCTAAACGCTTTAGTCTCGCTGAGCAGTGTCACATGGAGGCCTCGTGGTGCCTGGGTGGTCCCGATAGTGCGTTCAGATCCTGAGCACATGCAGCAACACACACACACACACACACGTATGCATGCAACACACATACACAGGCATGCAACACACGTATGCATGCAACACACACACACACACACACATATGCATGCAACACACATACACAGGCATGCAACACACACACACACACACACGTATGCATGCAACACACACACACACGCATGCAACACATACACACACACACACATGGAACACATACACACACACACATGGATGCATCAACACACACGTGCAACACACATATGCATGCAACACACACACAGATGCAACACACACACACACATGCATGCAACACACACACACACACACATGCATGCAACACACATGCATGCAACACACACACACACACACACACACACACACGCATGCATGCAACAAACACACATATGCATGCATCAACACACACGTGCAACACACAAGAATGCATGCAACACACACACGCATGCATGCAAAACACACGCATGCATGCAAAACACACACGTATGCATGCAACACACACACACACGCATGCATGCATCAACACACACGTGCAACACACAAGAATGCATGCAACACACACACACACACACGCATGCATGCAAAACACACGCATGCATGCATCAACACACACGTGCAACACACAAGAATGCATGCAACACACACACACACACACGCATGCATGCAAAACACACGTATGCATGCAAAACACACACGTATGCATGCAACACACACACACGCATCAACAAAAAGTGCAACACACAAGAATGCATGCAACACACACATCACACGTATGCATGCAACGTACGCACGCACACATCACAAATACGTATGCATCAACAAATGTATGCAACACAACACACGCACACATCCCACACACATGCATGCAACACATTTCATATGTGCATTTTTCATAATACACGTAAATACCACACCGACCAACTGTCATAATACACGTAAAATTCTGTTACTTTAAGTTCACTTTTTAAAACTTTTGTCACTTCAGCAATAATCCGCCAAGTGTCGTCTCTGAGAACTTCAGTCTGTCGCTCTAAACCATTAAACATCTACCACAGTTTAAGATGGAAATGTAATTTTCAGGTTTATGCTCAAAAAGTGAACAAATGGATTATAAATACAGTGTAAATATCAATTTAGTACAAAAAAAAAAATCCCCTTAAAAATACAAAATATTAAATAAAAAACAAACTAAAATAGTGCATTCATTTCATTGACAACATTTGTTATGTTTGACTGACACATGAAGAGCACCAGAAACTTCCAACGACAACTTTCATAACTATACGATCATGTTATTTCACAAGAACATCAGACGCTTCCCAACACCTGCAGCTCATCTGATTTTTTTTTTATTAATAAAAAAAATAATTGGTCATTATTAATATGCATCTACACTTGCCGTAATGCTGCAGAATCACAAATGAAAGCAATCCTATTTAACAAATCTTACATCATAACTAGGCCCTGAGGTCATCAGAATTGGCAAGTTACTATGTAAAAATCAGGTCAGATTAGTTAGTGCAGTACCGAACAATGAGCACAGGACCTATTCATCTTCGTTAACTTTCAGTTCATATAAATATTCACAACTACAACTATAAATATACAACTAAGGTTGAAATTAACATTAAGATTAATAAATGCTTTAGAAGTATTTTTCATTGTTAGTTCTTACTAATGTTAACAAATGGAACCGTACTGTAAGTGTTTCCATTTAATAAAAACAATAAATTAATTCAATTTAACCACCAACATCTGCGGATTGAAGATGAAGAACGCGCTGAATCTGATTATAACAAGACTGAAGCGAACACGAATGTTTGTAGTTTACAATTAATCACAAATTTTTAGGGGGCGAGGCAGAAGTTTAGGGGGATTTGATTACACTATTTCAGATAGCCCGTCGGGCAGGCCAGTTATGCATTTTGGTAGCCCGACTGGAAAACACAATAGCCCCGGGACGTCGGCTAACGATTTTGTGAGCCCTGACATTATTTCACATTTCTTGCTGTACAGCATGTATAACTTTGTTTATTCCCATTTTTATTGACAGAGTGCTCACAAATCGCCTCATGTCTATAATGAACATGGATGGGACTGGTGACAAGCTGCCTTTCAGAAGAATGGAACTTTATAAGGTCACAATAGGTAATTATATTTTCTATTTGTGCACCTATAGCTCTATTCTCTACATGATTTTTATTTTGATCAGTATGTGCAAGATAAATGGCAATTGCTGTTACATTTTTCAGGTGCCATCCAGAAGTCACAACCCGGCATCACAGAAGCTTCCATTGGTAGCCTTACGGCCAACCATTTGAGCGCTGCACCGGACAGAAGAGGGGGCACTGGACGCCGGAAGGTAGGAGCTGCTGCAAACAATGTAGATCTAGGCCCAATCCCATTTCTCTGTTTTTACCCTTCCCCTTCATTTTACCCCTACACAGTATCCTTCGAAACAGAGTGGAAAGATATAGGGGTAAAAATATTCTCCATGGAAATGAGGCACCAATAGCCTACATAGGGAAGAGCTCGGACGAATGTGATGTTTTGATATCGCTGCTCTATGGCTTTGAATGAATATTCACATTCTACAATTCAGTACAAAATGTGGACTGATTACTAGCAGTGAAATGAGATCCTGACATATGACACTATTAACAGATATTAACAAAAGTTTGACTCGATCCATTTTTCATATATTAGTACACATCTGGACCTCTGACTACTGCATGTGATTAGGCTATAATCTTTAGTTGTCTATATACTGTGGAGTAGCCTACTACTGATGGGTACTAAGCGTTAGTTATGTTAATGGACAGGCCCCATTTTAATGTTTGCTTTCTTGTTCTCTTGTTCCCTTTTACAGGCACTTGAGAGCCCTGGAGGTCTGAACCCATAGTGCCCCCACTATTACACTGCTCAAAAAAATAAAATAAAATAAAAACATATCAGATCTCAAAGTATGTGTATGTTGTCAGTCATTGTACATTAAGGTTGGAATTGAGTGATGCTTGGCATTGAAATGATATCAAAATATGTCAATAAATTGATGTAATTTTGACATCAATGTTTGATGTCACATTTATGTTGAATTGATATTGAAGCTTGATATTGAATGACATCAAAATAGCATTAAAATGACATCAACATCATGACATCTTGACGTCAAATAAATGTTGAATTGGCATCAAATGCAAACAGCATGACATCAAAATAACATCAAAATGACATCGGCAGAGGTCAAAATCTTGACATCAAATTGACGTTGTCACTTTGACTTTCATTTTTGACCTATTTCGTGACGTAATTTTGACGTCAATGTTTGATGTCATTTTGATGTTAAATTGACATCAAATGCCCACTGGGTAAAGCACCATTTCTCTGGCATTTCCAAAGACTCATAAAATATAATACCGTGGCTTGGATTGATACACAGTCTAATGAAACACATGTTTTACAATTTTATGAGCCTTATATTTCCTATTTGAGCCAATGCAGATAAATTATTGTAAAGCAAATCTAAATTGGAGCAAAAGCGTACTATGATTGGTCAGCGCAAAATAGCAGTTATCTGATTGGCTTAAGTAGACGGTGGGCGGAGTCAAACTATTCGTGGATTTGTCTGCACGTTTTGACGCTAGAAGCTTTCAATAACGTTGTATGAAGTAGAACCCTTTTAAATTTTGTTCTTGTCCTCTGGCACCGTTTTATTTTATTTTTCTTTAGTTACTTTGTACTTTTACTTTAAATGATTATGTCTCATTGCATTGTTCTGGTTCGTGGCATTAATAAAAAATAAATAAAGTGTTTCAATATCCACACATGCATGTAGTCTTAAAACACTGCATGGCAAGAACATCCGTGAGCTTTAAACGGTACATTTACTTTAAACAAAACAATTTGCAAATAAATAAAATGAGATTTGCAACTAACAAAAAAAAAAACGCTTTCTATGTGTGTGTGTGCGTAACCGCGATGCACACGCGCACAGAAAGCGTTTTTTTTTGTTGTTTTTTTTGCAAATCTCATTTTATTTATTTGTAAATTGTTTAGTTTTGTTTATCTCTTTACATTAATTTGTGAATTTCAATCTATCTATGTGGAATAACGCAACATGTCTAACCCCACAGAACCGTCTCATGCACAATAACCACCCTAAACTGGAAAAGTCTCGTGCACGAGGGTGTGTGTGCGAGTGTGTGTGTGTGTGTGTAGGGTGCAGGTTCACAGCACAAAACCACAGATGATGACACATGTACCGTTTAAAGCTCACGGCTGTTCTTGCCATGCCGTGTTTTAAGACTATAAAGATTTACAAAGAGCAAAGGCTGTGCTACGGTACAAAACAAACACAACACAAGCCAAATAGGGCAAAGTTTATCTAATATCATCTGCAGGAAAAAAAAAAACTGCGTCACACAGACTCATCCCACAAGGACTCTTTCAATCCAGAGATGCGTTTA